AAACAAAAGCCTCCCCGGAGGAGCGGCTTAAGCGGCGGAGACTGAGGGAGAAGGCGGAGACCCTGGCGGAGGAGCAGGGCGAGCGTCAGCCATGTTGTGTGTGTGTGTGTGAGTGTGTGTGTGTGTGTGTGTGAGTGTGTGAGTGTTGGTCCAGTATTTACAAACCTGCAGCTGCAGCAGCGTTTGGAGCCTGGGAGGGAGAGGGAGGGAGAGGGAGAGAGAGAGAGAGGGGAACGCGGGGAGGGAGGGAGGAGAGGAGCGAGGGAGGAGGGGAAAGCGGCGCGGCAGACAAAGGATGGCAGCAGCGCGGGGCGCGCACACCCTCCCGCGGCTCCGGCTCCCCCGCCGCCCGCACGGCCCCCTCGCCCCGCGTTCCCGCCTCCGCCTCCCCCGGGGGCCGCTGATCCGCCGGCAGCCCCTGGCGGGCCCCAGCCCCGGCCCGCACACAATAGCTCCGCAGCGGGGAGAGGGGGAGGGCAGCGCTCCCCTCGGGGCGAATGCGGCGCGGGGCCGTGCCGGGGGAGGGCGGCAGAGCCGCGGAGCCCGGAAGGGCGGGGGGGTTGCCAGGCAGCCGGGGCGCTTGCGGGGGAAAGGGAGGGCGCAGGCAGCAACGCCACACCGCGGCCCCCGCGGCCCCCGATGCCACCCGCGCCTCCTGTGCGGGGAGGGCGGGGGGGGGATGAGCGGCGGGAGCCCCGGGAGAGGCGAGGCGCGGCCGGGCTGGGACCGCCGGTCCCCCCACAGCGACTCCCTCCGGCTCTGCCCGGTACTGGGCCGGGCCAGGCCAAGGGCGGCGCGACGGGCTGCGCTCCCCCCGTCCCCTCCCTCGCCCCGCTCGCTCACCTGCCGGCGGGGCGGGCGCCCGGGGGTGCGGGCGCTGCCGCTCGGCCCCTGCCCGGCCGGCGCCGCTCAGCTCCTCGGCAGCGGCGGCGCGCGCGGCCGCTCCCCTCGCCTCGCCCGTGCCCCTCCGCCGCCGCCGCCGCCTCCTGCTCGCCTCTGCCACATTTGGATCCCCCTCTCCCTACGCGCGCTCCGGCGCCAGGACAGAGGCCCGCTCACCTTCCTGCCAAATAGTGAGCCGCCCGCATCGCGCCGCTCACAACACGGGCCCGCGCCCCGCCCTCCTCCCCCGCGCCGCCCCCCCCCCCCCCCCCCCCCCCCCCCCCCCCCCCCCCCCCCCCCCCCCCCCCCCCCCCCCCCCCCCCCCCCCCCCCCCCCCCCCGTATCCCCCCTCCTTCCCCTCCCCGCCCGCCGCGCACGCGCACTGCGCCGCCCCGACTGCGGCGGGCGCCGGGGAGGCCCCGCCCGCTCCGGACCGTGCCCGCCTGAGGGGCCGGCGGGGCTGAGGGAGCCGCTCCCGCACCTCGGGGAGGGGGGGCTGCCGGCCGTGTTTGCACAGAGCCGCGGAACGTCCCGAGTCAGGGGGGGGACCCACGAAATAGGGAACAAAACGCCTGGAGGGCTGGCGAGGCGCGGGGGAGCGGGCGGCGCTCTGTGGCGGCGCCCGGTGTGGTGGTGACTCCGCCCGGCGTGAGCGCTGGGCCCGAGGTGATTGATGCGCCCGTGAAGTCACTCGAGGGTGCGCAGTTCACTGAGAGGGGGTCCTCTGAGGGGGGATCTTTCCTGGCACCCCCGGTGATGGCTGAGCCGCTGAACTCCGGCCGACCCCGCGCCGCGGTGCGGTGTGTTGGGTTTAGCTCTGGTTGTGTAATCTCCGAGCAGACTGGACTGGGCTGGTTTGACTCGTTACGCGGGCTGAACCCTCCAGGTTCCGCTCTCCGTTATTCCTTCCCGAGCCGTTCACAGCACAGGGATGGTCGGGTCCGGCTCACGGCGCTGCCCCGTGTGCCTCGGAGCTGCCTCTTTTGCCCCGCCGTCCAAACGCACCTGGACACGGGCAGGCTTGGGGCTGAAGAAGCAGCCCAGGAGTGCGGTGTGGGTGCCAGAAACCCAAGACAACCATTTCACCTGAGCTGGCAAAGTGCTTTGTAAACAATACGAGCGAACGACAGCATTCTGCACGACATTGTGTTCTCATTTCATGGGAGGCGATGCTACCGGGATGGAGAGAGAGTAGTTTCTTCAGAACTTTAAGGGTTCCTATAAAGACGTGTTCTCACCTATGTATTAGGGAAACAAAACGAGGAGGTGGGAGAACACTTGAGAGATCTTGGGCTGTCTTGGGGTGCTCCCAGCAAGCTGAGAGACAGTCCCGGAGGGGGCAGTTTAACAGAAAACCTGCAAGTAGTCAAGATTTGTTCAGCAATTGGCAGACCACAGATAAGCGTCATCTTCTGAACCATTAGTGTTAAATGCCAAGACACCAAGGAGAGAAGTAGCAAGCTGTTTAACTCTCACGGGGAGTATTTTCTAATTAGTGAAGTGTGCGTGATCTAGGCGGAGTGAGGCACAAAACATTTGGTAAGCCATACCAGAAATTTTCAGATGAAACTGTGTCTAAGCACTTAATCATAGGAAAGAAATAAAAAAGTAAAATCATCTGTAGGTGTTCTGACGAAAATATGATACAGTGTCATCAAATCCTAAGCCATCGATTTGTCAAATTATTCAAGCCTAGACCTCCAAGACCCATTCACAGTGTCAGGCTGACAGCAAAAGGGGAAATATCTGTAAAATTATGTTACCTTCTGACAAATAAATTAGTTTAACTATGAAAGCAGGTGAACAGTTAGGACCTGGTCTGCCTTAACAAATCTAACTGGTAACTCTTTTGAAGTAAGGCATGGCAAGTGTATTGAGTATTGACACAGCAAGATTTTTTTCTATTCCATCATAAGACAAACTTCCATTCATTGAGGGAGCTGTAAAGTATTGGGGCCTGTAAAGTGCATAGGGCTCTTGATCTGTGGCTAAGAGCCTCATGTGCACTCAGAATCCGAAAAGTGAAATCAGTTTGGGGAAGGGATGACTTGCTTCAAAGGATGGATATTTGGGATTTCTTAGTTCAACGGTAGCGAAGGCACAGGGTAAGATCCAGATTCCCAAATTACAATCACAGATCACATAATTTGTGAATTCAGAGTCTGTGACAGAAAATAAAATACAGGAACATGTACAGGAACAAGGTACAAACATACATATTTTGCTTAAAAGTGCTACTGGCAAAAGATGAGAACAAAGAATCATATTTTTAGTTAGCTCTTTGCTATTTTCACAGTTGTTAATTTCATCAATGAGGGAGCATATCACCAGTAATTCCTCTGACAAAAGAGTCTGCCAGATTCTGGGAGATGATTCATTTGTAATTTAAAGAAAGATGTTTCTGAGAAAGGGAAAGATTGTGAGAAACCATGAAGTAGGGGGCAAGGATTGGTAAGGGTGAGTGCACAGCTTAATAATGCTCTACTGTCCAAGCAGGGTTATAAAATCCATAACCAGCTTTGCATATCACTGTTGAGACAAGACAGCTGTTGGGATAAGCAATCATGGCTTGAATTTTCCTGAAATTAAAAGAGGTATAGAATCATAGAAGTGCGCGTGTTGGAAGATCACAGATCATCTAGTCCAGCTCCCCTGTAATGAGCAATGATATCTTCAACTAGATCAGGTTGCTCAGAGCCCTGTCCAGTCTGAACTCAAATATTCACAGACATGGAGCATCTATCACTTTTCTGGGCAACCTGTGCCAGCGTTTCATCACCCTCATTGTAAAAACTTTCTTCCTGCTATCTCCTTTGAATCCATACTCTTCTAGCTTATAATCATTCTGGTGTTGTTGCAGTTTGGTCAAGGCTTGTCTGGAGCATAGGCCTGAAAAGGCCCCTGCCAGAAACAAGTCAGGGCTTGTCAGAGCTAAGTTGGGACTGGTTAGACATTAAGGCTGTGCTCACCAAAAAGAAACAATAAGTCAAGCAGAACCGGAGACAAGAAAATTTGCAACTAGAGATAGGATGTAATCTGGTGGTGGGATTTAATTACACGATGTTTACAGTTAGGTAAATGGATTAACAGTCAGGTAAATGGATTAATATTTGAATATAATCGAAGTGATATGTAAGTTTATGTTTAACTGCTATGTCTTCTGTGAAATGTAAAACCAAT